ATATGACAATAAGGATGAAAAAAATCCATTTCCAAAAAGTATGCAAATACATCCACATTTAAACTGCCGTGTACATATTTATCCTCTGGTAAGGTGCGTAAAACGATATAAATTGTACATAAATCTGGAAATACAATCCCAGTTTGCTGTTATGGGGCAGCATGGCTTTACTCTAGAGACTGCTCCACTAAAGGTAATTAAAGCTTCACTAGTGGCTGAAGCCATTCAAGATGTTATTATTTAATGATGTAAAAATTATCACCTTTCTTGAGCTACTGCATCCAGTAACAAATTCCAGTTCCTAAACCATTTGCACACTGAGCCCTGTCCTGGCCCTCCACACACAGGAAGTCTTTGCAGATATCAGTCAATTCCCAATACAGTTTTTCACAGAATCCCAGAGGCTCTGGGGTTGGAAAAGCCCTCCTAGCCCATGGAGTCCACCCTGTGCCCCATCCCCACCTTGTCCCCCAGCCCAGAGCACTGAGTGCCACGGCCAGTCATTCCTGGGACACCTCCAGGGATGGGGACTCCAAACCCCCCTAGGCAGCCCCTTCCAGTGCCTGACCACCCTTTCCATGAGGAAATTCCTCCTGAATCTCTAAAGGTAAAGCCCAGGCAGGTGTGTTCTGCAGTTTGACTGGAATGCTTCAAGAAATCTCTGTCCCTGTGGTTCCCTGTGCAGGAAGCCCAGCCAGGAGAAGCTCTCACACCCCAATCCACTGCCACTGTCACCAGAAAGGTGACACTGCCTTGAAGTCACTTGAAGATGTTTCTGAAGTCACATGTTCCTACTGAACGACTTTTAATAAGGCACAGGCAAAAATATATCATATAAATGACCAGCCCCAAAGCTGGAAAAGTACATTTTGGGCAAAAGGAGGCATTTTCCACATCAATCAAGACACTGGGAACAAGGGGAGATTTACATTAGGATTGAAAGGGCCGAAGGGCTGGGAGCCAGTGGTGTGTCTGTGCTGGTCAATACACAGCAAGGATTGTGTCAGCACCACTGAGAGAATAAATTATCGCTGCTTTTACAATAAGCTCTTCAAGAATGCAATAAAGAGTTCAGTGTGTGCTCCTCACTCAGGAATCCAAAACTTTTCAGTGAAGGTCTGGCTTGCAGCAAAGATAACAGCTGAGAACTAACCATCTTGACCTTGGGAAGCTTCATGACAACGTGCTAAAAACAGGTGAAAAACTGAACAGGTCAGTGCTCCCACATCCACCAGTCCTGAGAGCAAGCACAGGTTTAAGTACTGAGAGTTCAGACCTGGCGGGTTTGAGACAGCCCAAAATTAGAAGTGAGAAATGTAATTTTTATCCTCAAGCCTCTTGGCTTTTGCAGTATTACTAATACTGAGGTTTTCTCATCTGCTTTCAGAGATAAATTTAAAATTCTTCCCCGATTAAATGAAATCATGGCAGGAAATTAAGAAAATATGTAACTAGGGAAGGCATTCTTACAATATTTCATACCAGCTCCTGACTGATGCACAGTATTATAAGAACGTCTTCCCAGTCACGTATTTTCCTCCACAGTTTGACAAGAAGTCTCCCAAGTTGTGGGAACAGCAAGTCACCAAATAAAAATGCCAGTTTCATTCTTCCAAGCTTCAAAGATGGATTTTAATTTGCTTGAAATTCAGCAGGCACCCTCGGGAGCAGGATTCTGGAATTTTTCCTGTCTGCACAGTCCATAGGAAATTTTAAGGACTCACCAATCTTTTCCTAAAAATAATTGTAAAAGATGAAGGGCTGTTGGTGTGGGTGGGAAAAGCCCCACAGCCAACACGATGCCAATGCCACCCTCCAGAAAGCCCCAAACAAAAGAGTGTTAAAAGAGCTCTATAGAACATTTATATCCAACTTTGCTGCAGATTTGGTTTCAGTGCAACATCAAAGAAAGATGCAGTTTGTGATCAAGGCTTGTGGCAGGAAATGGATGTGTGTAGACAAAGTTATCTTTCTTCTCTCTAAAGGTGAATACACGAGGAGTTATTGTTTTCAGCCATTCTAACATCCAATTTCTCAAAACCACTACAGTAAAATTAACTATTAATCACCAACAAAAATAACCTGTCCCCAGAGAACAGCAATAAAAGTAGCCTGAAGTGGGTATCTGTGCACATACGCAGCCCAAGGAGCTGAAATTATTCCACTGCATTGTCAAAGTGCTGCTTAATTCCAGCTAAGGCCAAGTTTTCCAAAAACTTGCTGCAACAATCCTGAGCTACAAGAGAGTGAACAACTTGTAAGAGCTTGTTCCAGGGGATGTGTAAGACATCAATACCAGCCCTGTTTATCCACTGGCTGCTGTGTGAAGGATCCCAAACTGAGATCTGGGATCCGACTGGTTCAGCTCTACAGAACATTAGATTTATTTGATCCTAGATGAGAACAAATGATTCCCAGACAACACCAGCATTCCAAAACTTTCCGAGATTTGGAACACAGGAAGGTAAAAAGCCCTAAAAGAGCAGAGTGCAATAGCTGGCTGCTTTTCAACATGCATGATCACACACTGAGCCCTGAGAAAGTCAACATCTTTCCCATTTTACCACCTTATCCTTTTTCACAAATTACATAAACCCAGGGAAGGAATGTGAGTGTGGGAAGCAACTCGGGTTTTGCTTCTTACTCACAAGGATACTGAACTAGACACAAAGTACTTTCTTCTATGCTGGATCTTAACTCCAAGGTCAATTTATTGGCTTAAAACACTGAGAGGATGATGCTTCCCTGGTTCAAATGCTAATCTGAGGCTCAGGAAATCTAGATTCAATTCCCTGCCTCACCACATACTTCCTGTGTGACCTTGGGCCATAAATATTTCGGTGCCTCAGTCTTTCCATCTGTGACTGAGATAGTATTTCTCTATTGAACTAAGTGTTGTAAAGACAAATACATTGGGAAAACATCAGGAATCACAGGCCACAGCCATACGTGGATCGGGCAGCAGAGGAACTTATCTGTGTGTCAATAGTCCCAATCAGGCAGCAGGGAAAGCAAGGGAGGGCTGCCAGTGTTAAAAACTTTAACTACCACAGGGCAGCAAACACATAAAATACCAGCAGAATGGATGGAAATTGAAACCTCAATTATAAAAATCGGCTTTGCAGAAAGTTTCCATCATTCCAACCAAGTTTTAAACAGAAACAAAACTCAGAAACCAGCTGAGTGAGCTGCTGAAGGGAGCAAATACACCTGCCAGCAACTCATTATTGCCCTGTTTTGGGAGATTATCACATGAAACACCTCCAATGTGAGGCAGCAGAGGGGCAGCTGAGGCTGGGGGCAAAGAATCCCTGGAGACTGTTCCCCAAAGCCCTGCGGGAAGGGAACCACATGCTGCTGGAGTCCCCAGCCTTTTGTGAGAGGCGGTAAATAGGATCGGGCTAAGAGTGCTCACAGTGGGGTCCCCTCTGCTGCTGCCCCAAGGCGGGTGGGGGGGGATAAAGCGCGAAGGGGGAGGGCAGAAGATGGTCACCACCCAAACAGGGGCTGACAGGAGTGACCTCCCCCTGCCCCGACCCCAGGAGGAGCCGGGGGAGGTGTCTGGGACTGAGCTGGGAGCAGCCAAGGGGAACAACTACAAGGCTACGTGGCATTCGCAGGCAGCGGCTGCGAGAGGGAGAACGGGGGGGC